TGGATAGGATGTTATATACCAAATTTGTAAAATATGACCAAATAAGTAAAAGCATCAAATAGCTTATGAACCCGCGTTTCGTAGGTATGACATTACATCAAGCAGTAGTGATATTCAGTGCCACTTAAAAATATGATTGAAAATGTGTTTCTGAATAAAACATAGCATTTTCCGGTATTTTCTCAATAAGTTAAAATATGTAATCACTATTAGAAAAAATCTTTAAAAAAATATTACCAAAGAACAGCCAACAGACTTCCTCTGCAAAATATTTCAAAAGGAGAAGCACATAGCTATCTTAATTTCTGATTTTTATCCAACAGGAGAGATGACCAAAAATACTAAATTTTAAATTATTCGTAATAAATTATTTTTGTTTCAAAATTATTTGAAAATATGAACTATTAACACCAAACTCTTTTGGACGAGTAAAAATATAAATATAATCGTAACTTCAAATCATTTACTTTAGGTTGTATGAATAAGTTTGATCAATTTAATAATATTTTAATTATTGTACATTGTAAATTGCTTATGGAGCGTTTGGAAAATTTAAATCAGAGTAATAAACAAGTGTGATAATTTAGAAACAGCATATCATCTTACAGCATTTTCACAAATGCTCACCCCTAAATACTGTATTCAAATAAATTTCATACAATGCGAAAGCAGACTATAAATTGAATTTTTTTCTCGTAATTATTACAAATTATAAGTCTGCATATAACTAGATATGATAATGTTCTCCAGCCCTTGTTTCTACGCGTAGCACGGAAAATTTATAGTTTGTTAACGGGAAAATTTCAGAGCGCCATACTGAGAAAATACAATATATCGCAGATGAATTGTGTTCATTATAGAACTGCATATATTGTGCTTATTATAGAAATGCATTGCAAATATACTATTTTGTTCATTGTGATACAGTAATGGGGAATAACCCGAATCCAAGCTAATATAGGAATCAAAAGCCCGACGGAATTTTATTTTGTTATGCAATGTAGTTATTTGTTTCCTGATTGGATTTCTCGAAATAATTCGCACTTATTTTCTCAGTCATAAAATTAAAATGCATAACTTATGAATTATTCATGATTAATTGTGACTTTACCAATTCCGTATCCGTATTATTAAAAAATATTAAAATCATTATATGAAACCAAATTCATATATTTGCTTACAAGCCATTATTTAACTTCAGGCATATCTTCAGAAAAAATTTTTGAAAGAGAGATATTGCACTTAATTCTTAGGCAAATTTTGGTGAACATTGTAGTACAACTTCAGCTAATTCAGTCTTGTTCTGCGTTAATTTAAATACTTAAATTACTGATGTAAACCAACATTTGGCAGTTTTAAACACTGTTTCGCCTATCAAATATCTAATAAAATACTTTGATATTAAAATATTAGATACGTGCTTGATGAGTACATAATCGGGCACGTGGCTATGTGTAATATGTTATAAATAAAACTCATGTACTGTTAATTGATAACATATTTGAATTTACTCAATTAGTCATGATGTTATTTAAAATCTTTACTGGATTTGAATTAATTAAATTATGAAGATTTACATTCTTATGAGTCGATTTAAAGATAAACAATTTCTTGCTGAGACAAAAAATAGCTTGGCATATTTTTAATGTAAAAACGTATGATTTTCCAAAACTAGGATGAGTAAATTTACTAAAAGATTTTTTTTTTATAACAGCAATACTTCATATAAATAGTTCATATAATTAACCACATTTATTAAAATATTAATTAATTTATTAAATTATTTATGTGTGAAATTGAAATGGAAGAGATAAATATAATGACATATTTACAAGAATGAATACAATAAAAGTATTCAAATCCTATAAAAAAGTAGTAGAAGTGCAAAAAATGATAAAATTTTAAGAGAACTGAAAAAAGCATTGAAAAATATTGAAAACTTAATAGATTCACTCAAAGCAGATATTTCCAATTTGAAACCTTCGAATTATATTTAGGAATTTAATAATCATGCTAAGTATATAATTTACTATTCCATTCCAATATGCAAGTATTTACCCATTATTTATCTATGTATAAAATTACAAAAAATTAATCATTATAGTAAACAATTTTAGTTATTTATGCCATTCATTTACTATAATTATTCCAAAGAAATTTCCAAAGTGTTTTTTTTTTTGTTTGTTTATGAAAAGTAATCAGAACTTACAAACTTTTCCTCTATTGCGTCTATTTGATTTACTATTTTTTTAGATGACAACCTAGTCGTTGTCCTAATTGTGATGATATATTTTAACTTCACGGGGAAGGCTAATAGTTATTGCAAAACATGTTTTGATCTATATTTTCAAATGAATATAAATATCAACTAGTTGGTATTGGTATTTTGCCTTGAGGCAGGTTACATGAACTTCCCGATATGTGGAAATAATCGACTTAATCAATAAAAAAATAAATTAATTTATGAGTGCTTAAAATATGAAAACGAACGAATACGTTAACTCAGAATATTTTCTAAGAGCAAATTTTCTAAAATCAACAATTTTTATAATTGAACTAGTTTCCGTAGGACTTCAATGCTTTAGTATGTTCATTAAGACCAAGTACTCTATCGTTATACCAAGTAAATCGTCTAATTTTAATTTTAGCTAACGTCAAAAAAACTACTCATTTTCTCAAATTTTGATGATTTTTTTTAAATTAAACTACATGTCGTAAGGCCGTAATATTTCAGTAAGTTCTATAAGACCATGATGTATATTGCCAATAAAAGTTCTATAAAAACCGGCTTAAATTGTTTTTTCAACAGTTTATTACAAGAAAACGACTCGGTAGATTGTCACCTAAAACTAGTCAGTATCATTCCCAACTAATATCTTTAGAACAGTTTTTGATTTTTCAAAATCGATTCGATAGTATGAGCTTAAATGCGGAAACGTTCAACACTTTTTTCCAAATGACAAAGAAACGGCTTGACCGATCGTCGCACAAAACTGACAAACGATAGTCCTCATCGAGATACATAGAATGACTTTTAAATTTTTGAAATCGGTCCAGCCGTTTTTGAGAAAACGTCGATTTACGGCAAAAAATCTGTTCACATACACACACACACACACATAGTTTTTCCTAATTTGGTCTCATTCGATTTAGAATGGCTTGAAACTTCGAAAAAACATAAAATTAGAGAATCGGATTTGTTTATGAAAACATAAACTTCTCCTTCGGGAAGTTAAAAATGCCTAAATCAGGATTTCCGAAAATTTCTAAAATAAAATGAAAATTTGGAAAAGTTTGGATTTGGGATTATTCAATAAAATTCCATATTTTTTATCTCGTTTTTTAAGTTTACGAAATGGAAATACCACCGATTTGCCTAAAGATGTATAACCATTAGTTAAAAAATATGTTATTTAATCAAACAGCGCTGTTAAAATAAAAACTCGATTTTATAAAGATTGACGAATACAACACCTTTTATTGACGTTTTCTACTATATGAATTATTTGCAATAACAAGATTGCGAAATACACTAACATTTTATTAACAGTAATAAAATCAATACATAGTGTTGATAAAAAATATGTATAGGAATAATGTTATTCATACAAGTAATACTAAAATCTTTACGATCGCGGTATTAAAATTGAAAATAGGTCATCTATAATTATCGCTTAGCAATAAAGATTACCTTGACGATTCTTCAAAAACATGTATTGGAAATTATAAAATGTATCCACGTGTAAAAACTTGTGGAAAATCGATCTAAATTAAAGGAAAATTTGTTACGCCATAAATATAAAATATTTATGACAGTCGCAGTCAATATACCTATCAATTAAAACCTGTAAGAAATTTAATATAGATATTAAAAAAATGTTGATATAAATTTCATATTGGTATATTCTTTTAAAATTCTCTCTTAATTTTACAATAAATACAATTATAATCTATTAATTAATTTCGAATATTTACAATATAATACATTATTCAATAATTTTGATATTACTGTAGCTATAATACATTTCTTTATTTAAATACTAAACATTATAAAAGCTATTAAGGAAGACTTTTGTGATTTTGTCGCTTTGTTAAGGCACTATTTTACTTCAATCCAAAGATTAGTCTTAACTTGTGGTCACATAAAAATAATATATACAATAATATACAGAATCTAAACTAAAATTAATATAAAGTAATTATTTTTATTCACAGCATTTCTTTTTCTTTAGAACTATATAAAAATATGCCATTCCAGACATTTTAAAGTAATTAAAATTAATGAGCACAATGACGCGGTAGTCAATTACAGATCGTGATGTATCAAATTGCAATAATTATTTTTTCTTTTGCACATCACAAAGAAATTCTGGTTTGATTCGATTTAATAACATCATAGGATTAAATATAAAAGAGAATGACTGGCACAATTCATTATAAAGTAATGATAAAAATAACTTACAAGGATAAAATGACTAACTTTTTGCAATATGAGCCTTTGCAATTGCTAATTATAAAATATATTTGCCATGCAAAGTTTTGCAATTCAATTGATATATAAATAGTTCATATAAATCTAATTAAAATTTATAGTATAATATAAATATTTTTAAATGTTAAGGCACAATATATACATTTCATTTGGAACTAACTTATATGTCTTTACGCGCAGTAATCAATATCAAATCACGACTTTTCAAAAAAACTATAAATTTTTATATCACTCAAGAACATTTAATTTAAAATATAATTAAAATAAAATTTGATGATCAGAATTTTATCATATAAATGATTAAAAAATTTCCACTAATTACCAGGGTCTCCAACAAGGATTCGTTTCATCTTCAGCGGCTTTGTAAGTTTTTTGTTTGCGAACGACCAAAGAAATCGGACCCTGGGGCTTTCGGGTCTCTGTAACAAATGATGCCTAGGTCTTTTGTGTTCTCTATGCATTTCCCCGGAGGCACCTTGTAAACCATCAGCTACGCGATTAAGTTGATTCAACCTCTCCTCCACGTCAATATCGGGTGTGCATTGTTTTTGGAATGCCACCCGCGATTCGTGATTGTTAATTTCGGGAGAGAATGTCGACCGATCTGGAGTTTCTCCACTATGGCTAGAGATTTTGGAGGAGTTGGTGGGCTGACGTAGCAGAATGAAGCTGGACTGCAGGAGCCACTGCTTGCCGAATGGGTAGAACTCGTTCTTTGAGGAACGGTTAAAAGTGTAGGCACAATCACTGAAGTTGCTTGTGGCACTGTCAAATTTTGTTTGACTACGTTTTGGTATTGATTCACCATCACTACATTCTGCTGTTGGATAACATTTGGGCTTAATCTCTGATTCATATGCATGCCATTTGGAGAAGCTGCATGTTGTTCAGCGTATACTTGATGAGTAACATTAGGTGTTTGCATTGATGGATGTAGTTGTGCTAAATTTGGTATCAAGCGCGTGTTTGGTGACGAGCTTGGAGAAGAGTTAGCTGTTGGTTGTGGGTTCACTTGCGGAACCATTTGTGGCGTAGGAGTTTGCTGTTGAGGTACTTTTGATGCAGGCAACACCAAAGCAATGTCACCATTTGGTAAACGTGTTGGCAAGAGCTGTACTCCTGACCGCCAGATGTGGTAACAAAAACTGATCCACCCGCATGGGCTGATAGGTGGATTTGTTGGGCAGGTTCTGGTGCTGGCAGAATGTGGACCTGACGAAAAATGGAAATACAATAAATAACTAAAGTCAAAGCAATAAAACAATTTAATCATTTTATAATTGATAAATAATTGACTATTTAAATTTGATTTAAAACTAACCTGATTCTGATTGGATTCTGGAGTTTCATCTTGTACAGTTGTCGGTGATTTTCTATTAGCATTTCCATTAGTAGCATTGACCAAGCAAACCTGCTAAGTGTTGCATCAATCGCCTCCGAACAGCAGGTTCCAAACCAGGAAACCTACTCACTTCACCGCAACATTGTGCATATCCGGCACGGAATTTATTCATAACACCTATAACAAAGAAAATTTAAATATTAGAAAAATAAATAATATTTAATTGAAATATTGATAAATTAATGACAAAAATTTAGAATATTTACCTGGATCGGCGGCAGTGGCTAAAGCGGTTTGTTGTCTTTGCAAGGACTCTAAATGTCGAACAGTCATTTCTAGAATGTCTGCTTTTTTCCAATTTGAATGACGAGCAGGCTGTAAAAAATAAATATTGGTTAATATATTAATCATATTCACAAATTCTTTCAAAAAGCAAAAATATTTTTATCATGGTTCTAATACGAATGCAATGAGAATCTGATGAGGTACTTACGTCTTTTTTCATGGCATCCAAAATCAATGTCTTAAGTTCGTTCAAGCAGTTATTGATACGAGCTCGTCTTCTTTTTTCCATGATTGGTTTATTACTCTGCAAAAAAAAAACAAAACAACGTAAATAAACGCTTGCTAATTATACAGCATACTAAATATAATAAATAATAAATATTATCTGCAAGGTATATAAATAGAATACGGTAGCTAACAAATTTTCCAAAGTGTTCCCGAGAACTCTTACGTAGATAAGTCAGGTAATTCGATAAACAACACATACAAGTCATGCTTGACAAACAAATATTTTTTACACTGATCCAGTTAGAACCAGAACTGAAGATTAGCGAGTCTGCGGCGTGTGACCAATTTCTGACGATAACGAGAATCACAAGCGCAAATAACCGGAGACGACACCTCATAATAAACATAATATGAAATGATGATTAAATCAGGCTTGGACTTTGAACTTTTCATTTTGTAGAGAAAACACGTCGCGTGTTATGGTCTGATGATGATTTTTATAAAATTTTTATTTATCTATTGACGCACATGACACTGATGTAACTGGGAGATTGAAACTGATACTTTTCTACGTGTGAGATGTTTCATCATTTTGGTTGCAACCTACATTAACTAACTCGCATTTTATGTAAATGCTGATAAATGATTATTTTTTAAATTCAAACTTGATTTTTATAGAAATTGTGATTCTTGTACAAATTTCGAAATGCAAATTATTAAGATCAACAAATATTTTTAAATTTTTTTATCAATCCAATCCTCAACCATCATTAGCCAGCTTTATTTATAAAATTGTTCAAAAGCATATATAATTTTCTGTTCTGCCTAACTAAAATTATATTCCGAGTTTAACAAAAATTTCTGACGTTTTACCTATTTCCAGTGACCACGGTGGGTAAAACAAATTTATATATAGAAGTGTCAAAATAGTTTGACTTCGCGTAGGTCTTCAGGCTTTGCTCAATCTTTTTAATTTTGATGAAATTTTTTAACTGGATGTAGGTGTAGATAATAAGTAGGTGTAGATCTAATAGGGTATTTTTGAAAATTTGAAATATTTTTTTTACTATAAAGTTCTTGTTAATGATTACTGTTAAAAGATTTATTGAAAATATGAGAACTTGTAAATAGAACAAAGAAAAAAAGCAAAAGTAAAGCATGAATTATATTTAATAATTTTCATGTTTATCTTTATTATGTCCTGAATTCTTTAAAACATTTTTTATAAATATAACTCGGTTCTGCATTAAGATTATTATTTTTTTTGGCTTTGTAATTCAGTTTATATTTTTTTTATTTTTTTAAATTTTATATATAGATATAAATATAATGTTTATGTTTTAAAGAGTAGGTGCCAACGTTAATATGAAAAAATATCCAAATAAATAAATTCAAAGAAAAAATAAAATTTTTACTTTGTATTTTATAACATTCTCAAAATTTTAATGGACGTATTTAATTGATTAATAATGATAAGAATCTTAATAAAAGTTCTAGCAAGAACTTCAGGAGATTACTCTCTCTTATGGGTTTTTGATGGAACTTTGCATGGTGATAAGGTTGATGGTCAAATCGAAAGTTTAAAATATTATAGGCCTATGAGAGTTGGTTTAATTATAAAAATTTTTGATTTATAAAAAATTATAAAAAGTTTTGAAAAATAGACCGATGTATTCGTACGTATTGCGCACGGTCTATTTTTCTAAACTTAACTAATTTTATAATTGAACCACTTCTCATACAACTATAATATTTTAAACTATTTAGTTTAACTATCAACTCTATCTGTATGCAAAGTTTCATCAAAATCTCAGAAGAGTAAATCTGAAGTTCTCCTTGTTAGTATTATAATGTATCACAGAAGACATGAAATAAAATTAAATAGCGAAAATGAAGCAAGATGAATGCAACAATACTCAAACAATATTTCTTTGTTATTTTTAGCCATGTAATTTTTTTTATCACTAAGATTTTTTTAAAAAAATATTAGTTTCTCTATCTAACTCTATGTTTTCATAAATATTAAAATGCTATATTCCATTGCAACTAAATTTTTTTTTTGAAAAATAAATTTTTAAACAAATATAAAATTTAATACAACTTACCCTTCTATTATCGTGGCACGTTTCTGTGGCTCATTTGTAACATCATTGACCACCGCTGCACCAGACAAAGGTGCTACTGTAGCTCCAGCAACCATTTTTACAATTTTAATTAAAAATCTACAGAATAAATCAAAAAATCTATTTCACTTCCCAGCACTTTGTAAAAGTCACAAATAACACAATTTTATACAACATGGATTTACACATAATCGCACATTTGTGGAAAATATCAGTCTTAACACAAGTATATTATAAATAGTTTTTAATAGACACTTTCATTTTATTAATAAGTCACTGTACGATTTATAAATCCTGGGATATGAGTCTTTAATAATTTTTTTGTGTAGTAATATGTAGTCTCTCAGAGCGGTGCTTCGCGCTATACTTAATGATTTCAGAACTTGAATGATCGTTCAACCAGGGCCAGGCGCGTGATCCGAGAGCGGCTAAAAATCGAGTCTCTGGTGGGGATGGATGATGAAACGGCAACATTGGGTCGGTCCAGCTTCATACAAATATCTTTGTTATTCAGGTAGAAAGATAATAATCCGAGGCAGGTATCAACACGCGTGACTCCCTCCCGACCAAGCGAATTTTTATTATCCGTAAATGGAAATTCAAATTGTGAATTAGTAATGCACTTTGACCGATATACTGTTACCGGAATGAGTCATACGCGATATAAACTATATGCCGTTGGTGTTTTTTGATTTGGTTTCTTGTTTTAATAACATAGGCGATATTGCGTTTAGATAATTTTATTAGTCATCGATTGTTTTTCAAACTTGTGAATT